TAAACTGTATAAAAAGTCCTTCTCCAGGATGTTACACATTTGAATTCTAGCCAATCATATAAATGTCCGGGATGCTAGATCAATGTTATTTCAAACAACGTATCGAACTGAACAACATATAGGGTCAAACAACATGAGGTTTTGATGATGAGGGAAGCTCTACTTATATAAGGCTTGCCACCAAAATTCGTCACGAAAATTACTAATTTTGGTTTCGTACTGCCACCGAAAAACGTCACGAAAATTACTAAACTTGGCTATTGTTTGTATCTCACCATTTTCCGTCACGAAAATTACTACATTTGAACTCTAGTGTGACAATACTAAAATTAGATCGCTGCGGGTAGTATTTCAACTGCGGAGGAAGATTTTATCACCTGACTTGCTCGACTGCGTCAGCAGACCGACTCAAACACGTCGAAGATGGGAAAGGTAAGAAGTAAATTTCATATTAAAAGCCATTCAACAATATAACTACCTCAATGTTCGGAGACTGTGACCTGTGACGCTTGTACGTGCGATCATCATCTATACTCTCTAATCGTCTTGTAACTTTTTCTCGAACCAAACTTTCTTGCCTATCACGTTGAAGTGTTGAGTGTACAGCGGATGTAGCGAGTTCATCCTGTTATAATAGACAAGTTAGCGTTCACGTTTGCTGTGTACCTTGTTATATTGCCGGAATATCTCATACCAACAAAACTGAACGTTCGATTCATTTGCCACTTTCTTCTCTTGCGCTAACGTAACCGTCTTCAATCGATTTTGACTTTTTTCCTTCTATTAATAAAAAAATAAATCAAATTTGTAAGAAACGGAATCACCCGAGTCTCGACTCACAAGCTCCCAATTACAAGCAGAAGTGATAGATATTAATGAAAAAATGTGTAAACATCCACCCGAATCGCAACTCAAGCATTCCCGATCGCAACCAGGAATGTTGGGTAGTTGAACACATTTCGTCAGGAACAACCACCCGAATTGCAACTCAAGCATTCCCGATCGCAACCAGGAATGTTGGGTGGTTGAACACATTTCGGCAGGACGGAACCACCCGAGTCGCAACTAACCATCCCCGATCGCAACCAGGGATGTTGGGTGGTTGAACGCAGATCGCAACCCCATCCAAAAAGGCTATTGCCCTTTGAGACCCGTCCACTGCCAACAAAACACCAAAAAGTAATACCTAACTTGTAACAAATTAAGAGCGTCGCTAGCCAGTTTAATCATTTCCGGGGATTGTTGTTTATACTAGCAAGGCTACGAGTATACCGGCTGTGTTCTTCATGCTTGTCGGCACAGAAATCAGAACATTTTTGTCGATATAACAGAAAATTTAACAGTGTCCCAAAGTAAAGAAATCAGGATCATCTAACGAGATTCCTAACAGTATAAAAAGGAACTTTAGAAATCACAGAGTTTCAAATAGAGCGTGCTAAGAAAGTAAACTTGCCAGAGCAGGAATGGACAATCGGAGGTTGGGTAAGACCGGTCTTTTAACCCGCCAAATATTTGGTGATTACAAGTGGACTGGAATCAATTGAATCGGTAAAATTCTAAAAAAAAAAAACCGTGACAAAATGTCACGTCGAAAAAGTAGCGCATAGCCAATGAACGATTGTGTCATATGCAGATCTTTTGTAGATCTTTTGTGTTGCGTACAGATTTCCTCTCTGGAAAGTGAATTTCCTAATTAGCGTTAAATTTAATTAGCCTAATTTAGATTTCTCCGCAGATGATTTCCAAATATATATTACATCTTCCTGAACTTAGTCGATTCTATTCAGGAAAATTACTTAGAGGTAAATAATTTTTGATGGACTTATAGTAAAAATGAATTATAAGCATTAATTTTAATTGAATTTTGTATAAATAAAATACTCTATTTCCCCTTCGAAGGCCTACACCTTGGCATTTTCCACGTTCCTTAGCGGATTGAAACCATATTTATTATTTAGCGCTAACGGGGTCGAAATCTTATATTCCTATTGGCTAATTTCCAATACTATTAACGTTAATGGTAAGTTTTTCGAAACGTTATCTATATATAGACATACACCGCCTTTAATCTTTCTACTTTAAGTTCGAATTATGATATAGCATAGAAATCCATTATCCCTTGCCTCCAATTTGGATTCGCCAACAAAATTGCTTTATATCACTTGATGCCACTAGATAAATACCCCCAACATACACAGTGGCTCTCTTTATAGTGTACCTCCTTATAGTGGAAACTAATTAAAATCGCGATAAAGGTTCAAAACTATCTATAATGAATGCTATCCGATATAGTGTATCTACTAATAAATTTTCAAAAACTCTCGATATAGTGTATTTTTGAGAATTTTTTACTGGTAGATTTTTTGATATACTATAAAGAGAGTCACTGTGTATATAGTAATAGTTCGCTAAAAACCTTAGAATCGTAGCTATTAGTATGCAAAGTCACGTGAGCATGGTTACACGAGTCTGTCAATATGGTCTTTTGTCTGTCTGCAGATCTCTTACCGATCATTAACCCTGTCGAGCCAATACTCGGGGGAGAGCGGAACGAATATTGACCTTGGGATTTAGTCTTTTTCCAACGAGGTCCTTGAT